TGAATGGACCGAATCAACAGAGTTTCCAACATGATAAACCTAAATCAATGAAAAAAAATTAATCAATAGCAAGTATTTATGGATCCTTGGCTCAAGTAATGACATTGATTATAATAATACTTCAACTCGAAGAAGACATCCCTATTTTTTATATAGGTTAAGATTAGATAACCCTATTCGGGCAACACAAGTAAGATGGTTGCCACTAGCTTACTCTATTCAACCGACACATGCACAATTCATAAGTGCATGCATGCACGCACACACAAAGACAGATGGCATTAAGCATCAACATAGTGAGTAATTGCTTATGTGTTCACCTGCACAGTGCGAACTTCAAAGGCAGGTTGATTAGCAGGGTCTTCTGCAAATTGCAGCAATCTCTTATGTGTAAGCACATCTTCTGCCCTCTCCACGTTCACATCCAATGCGTATCTACATAGTTACAATAACAAACAGCCAAGCGAAATCTCAAAATTATATACACTCTAATTCCCAAAAGTAAAAATTAATAAACTTAACCAAATTTTGTTCTTTTTTTTTCCTATTTTTCACTCTTTTCCAGCTCTTGCCAGCTGTCAGCGCCCTACAAATTCGAAAATGAAAACTCTAGTACTAGGGAAACAAAGCTTCGTATGATACTTGACAGAAGTATGAAAAAGATTCCATCTTTTTTTCTTGCTTACATTTCCTATAGTTTCTCAGCAACCAATCAAGCAATGTCATAAGCCAAAGAAACTAATTAACGAACACACAAATCAAAACAGAAAACCTAGGGTTAAGACGATACCGAGGAGGTAAGCGATTGAAATGAAGCCAAAGCTGATCATCAAATCCGGGAAGATTAGCCTCCTCAAAATTGGACTGTTGGATTCGCCGAAGCACCTCGTTGTAAACCTCGAGCTTCTGTCTCTGATAGCGAGGCTGAGCGTGGGACGAGAGCGCGGCTCTGCTGCCACAGCTCTCTACGTCTTCATCAATAGCCATTGGAGCTGAAGCAAAGCTTGAGAGAAGCGAATCCAAATCTGCTAATGGATTTATAGACTACAAATGGAGAACATGCACTGTTCTGCAGGCTCAGTCAGAGCTATTAATAAGAAGAGTGAGATGGAGATTTTGGAGAGAGAGAGAGAGAGAGAGAGAGAGGAGAAGCTTCAACTGGAAGGAGAAGATTCTCTCTCTTTCTTTCTTTGAATTTGGCCATGGCTTTTAGCAAGGGGTCCACTGCCTGCTGACTCGTCTGTGACTTATCTATCACTGCCGCTAATTAATTATTAGCAAAAACTAATTTTGTTTTATGGTGCACATTGCACAATTCCTAACCCTTGGATGAGAGAAAATAATTCGGACTTTAACTAAAAATCGAGAATTTAAGAGAAGAAATTGATAGCTCCCTTATTGGGCAACGGGTGGAAAAAATCGTGAAAATTGAGGCATCAAATTCTCGAGTTTAATTTCCACCAAAATAGGAGTTATTTCACAATTTTCATAGTGTCATTTACAAAACTCGACATACATTTTACTAAAACACCCAAAATGGGGGCTGAAATTATAAAAAAATCCAACACCCAAAACCCATCATTACACACACTCAAAACTCATTTATAAACACACCCAAAAAATATACAATTGTTGATTTTGGGTGTGTTTCTATATTTAAATAGTGCTTGAGTTTTTTTATAAATACATGTCTAGGATTGGGTTCATTTATAAATTTGTATAAATAAAAACACTGAAATATTCAATTTCCAAAAATTGAAATTATGGAAATTGAAATTCCATAAAGAAAATGATGGATTTATTTTTTAAATTTTTTAAATTATGGATATCTCTAAAGAAAAATGTGGGTTTCTGGCAAATAAATAAATAAATAATGTGATTTTAAAACTATATTTTATTTTATTACATTATATTTTTCTTATGTTTTAGAGAGACAAATTTGGAATTTTCATTCACTAGTTCCTTATATGGAACTTTAAAAGCCGATTCATGTATGATAACACCTCAAGGTATACCAATGTGATATTAAAGATCTACTCAAATTATAATCGTGATAGCCTAGTCACGACTAATCAGTTAGAACTAGTCTTTGAAAATCCATAAACTCCATATGCTTAGTGATGATTATCTAAATCTTATAAGTTTATTTGGCAGCAATAAAATATGAAAGCTTAGTTTTTGTAATAGGTTTTGTATTGGATTATAACTAGTTTGTTTTGAATTGGTTACCCTTGAAGTTGTCAAGTTGAAAATGTTAGAGACAAAGTAAAATGTCTTGATAAAAAAAACTGACCCTTCCAAGCTCCAACACACACTATAGCAAAAGTAAATGATTAGTTAGTCTAACTCAGCTCAATATTCTTGATGAATAAATGGCTTTATAATTAATACTATTGTACTATCAACTATTGTTTAGGTGGTTTGTAATTTAATTTCTCATGGGGCAGCCTTAAAAGAACAAGTACTCATCCTACTCTGCTTTTTTAAAGCATATTCCATTTTGGGTTCTACCTGCTTGCTTTGCTCACATTCCTATTTTAATTTTAATTCAAGCGTAGAGTTATTTTTCAATAGAGAATTAAATTTGAGTTAACACGTTGTGGTATATACTATATATGGATGATGAATAAAACCCCTCATTTGCAGCGTCGTTATGTTAGCTTTCAAATATTGAGTCTTTGTCGAGTGGGGTACCACGTGGTTGTGGCTCTTTCTCTTTTGTCTTATTTCGCACCCAGAATCGAAATCCCAAAATTTCTTTCCTATCAATTTAAAAAAAAGTAAAATTTTGAATCTTTAATTAATTTTTTGGACAGTACTTAATTTTCATTTTGATGCTTCGCGTTAAAGAGAATAAAAATTAGCATATAATCTAACATTGGACAGGTGAGAGCAACAAATAAAGAAATATATTGATCGACGACGTTTCTGTTTCTTATTGACCTGCCTACATATGCGATGACATTGTTGATTTTCTTGTAGGATCAACACAATTAGGTTAGAATATTATAAATTGTGGATGGAAACTGGAATTGTTCAAGTATAATAAATCATTTGCTCAAAAAAAAAAAGTCGATACCTTTTTGTACGCTGAGATGGAACTTTGAAAACGAGTGAAAGCGATGGACGCGGCAAAGTTGGCCTATGAGATCGTCCCATGAAAGACAAGAAAGGAATTCATAATTTTAGTTAGATATATATATGTCATGATATATGGTTTGGGCGTAGGCACCACGTCGCACTCACAATATATAATAAATACATAATAAGAACAATGATTCAAATTTTAGCCGGAATGAGGATGGTAATTTATTCTAGTTCTTGAGGTAGAATGAGAGACCGAAAAGTTAAGATTGAATGAATAGATAGAGAAATTTTGTGTTATATATGATAATCCTTATGATAGACAAATTATACGTAGAATTTTCATATTTATGAGAAAGATAATAGGTTTTATGATCGGTCTGCAACTCCTAGATATTTAAAAAGACGAATTATACATAGAACTTTTATATTTCTAAGAAAAATAAAGAGTTTTATGATCGGTTTGCAACTCCTGGATACCAAACGTAGTCCTACAAGGTGGAGACGATGGTGTCGGTCCTTAGGGTGATCATGTCATGTTAGTTGTTACTTGTCCCATTGGGTTTGTTGAACTTTGAAGTTATTTGCTAATTTATATTTTTCTGTTTCTTCTAGTGGGGATTATTGCCGTGCCCTTGACAATCGAAATGTGAATAGCATATGTGGCTTGGAAGAAAACACAGTGCATGACCCAAATAAACAAAAGTCAATTAACTTATTTTATTGGAACAAGAGTCCCTTACTACTAGACTCGAATTTGGTAGGAATTATTTGATAAAGTGCCCTATTATTAACAACAACAAAAACCTCATAAATCTCAATTATAAGCATTCTATTTTATTGATTAAACCACAAAATATGAACGACACAAGCTGTTATGCACCATCCATCATCCATGGTGGGATGGCCCCACTCTTGTCCTTTTTATTCAGAAAAATTTAGGTAAAATTGGCTAACTCTCACCACCAGAGCTAAGGCATACTCACAATCTCAAGTCAAAAGAACTTACGCGTGATTCTCTATTATAATTTTTCTTCCCTTTCTTCAAATAATTCTTTAAATGCAAGAAGGAAAACCTAAACATTCATTTATAATTTATTTTCCTAATTAATTCTTTTTTGTTTTTGTAAATTTTGATATTATTGTTTTAGATTAACCGTGAAGTAGTTAATGTAAAATAAAAGGACTAAACGAAGGCTGTTCCACCCAGTAAATTACCTTTTCAAAACCGACTGGGTTGCTGCAACTCATAATTGTCTAGGAATTGTTAATTCCAGCTGAAAATTAAAAGGAAATATTATTATTCGAGTGAAAAGTCCATAACCAATATAACAATCAAACCTTTTTGCTTAACACAGCGGTTGAGTAATGAGCCAATCATAACAGGAAACGTGGACGACAAAACCGCAAGCCGTCGGATGGATCGTCTTATGCGAGGAAACGTAACAACAACAGAATTATAAAATAAAACTAAAAACCTTTGCTTTTTGGCAATTAATTTGTCAATTTATAATATTCAAGGAAACAAAAACACAGAGAAGACAAAAACAGAGTCTCTGAGAGAGAGAGAGAGACAAGTGGTTGACATCAAGAACATCATGAAGTAGTTTTCTTATGGGTTTTTATAACCCTGGCTGATGTGGGCTGAGCAGCAAAGATATGGCAAAGCTTTGTTGGGTTTTCTCTGTTTAGATTGGGGGTGTATTAGCTTACTTCTTATGTACCATAAATCTCAAAGTTTCTTCCTTAAGCAGAGCAACAAATTGAGGTTTAAGCTGTAAAACTTTATGAGAAATCTTTGTTGGGTTTGCTTTGTTTTGGGTTGGGGTTAATTAGATCAATTCTTTGTACCATATATCATTCTGTTTTGGTTTTTTTTTCTTTTCAAAGTAGCTTGGAGGGTTTGGTGACAGATTATGGGTCAATGCACATCAAAGCAAGTGAGGCGTAAAGGGTTGGGTGGTTCTTCTTCTTCAAGTTCATCTGGAGGTGGAGGTGGAGGTGGTGGCTGTGCAGTGAGGCAAGGATGTTGGAGCATGATCAGAGAGAAAAGGTCCAGGTTCTATATTGCTAGGAGGTGTGTGGTGATGCTTCTTTGTTGGCACAAATATGGCAAGTATTAATGAAACCTTCATTAATTCTTCTTCTCCTCTTTTTTTTTTTTTTTTTTTTTTTTTTTTTTTTTTTTTTTTTTTTTTTTTATTTTTTTTTTTTTTTTTTTTATTTTTTCATTTCATGTATAAAAAAAATTTGCAAGTGTTTCAGGAAGATTGGGATCTCATTTGGTGGTCTAAATCTTCCCCAGTTCATGAAAGTCATGGCTGGAAAGATGTTTTTTCTTCTTTTTTTTAATATTTTAAATAAAAATTAGAAGTATTGCATGATTAAGCCATTCATATAAATTATAAAGCAACAAGTTTCGTGTGGAGAATTGAGAGACTTTTTTTATATATTGATTCTTGTGTAAATGTGGAGAAGTGAGTTTTTGTTGTGTGTGTAAGCCTCTCAGTTCATTATAGCCAATTTGAGGAAGGAACAATATGTTCAAAGCTAGAGAAAACGTATACAAGATGTATTTTATTTATTTGTTCCTAAACAATTTGCAAGTTGTGATTCTTTCTCAAGGTGAGGCCAAGCAGAATATACCATGGGCCATAGCTTTCCACGCTCCCAGTCCCAGCTAATGAAATCACTCACAAAGAGATAAAAGGGAAACAAAAATGAATATTCAAATGTGTATTTTAAAATAAATCCCATCAATTTGCACCCAAAAAAATTCTTACATTTTCACCAAGCAATAGCTGCCATATTCAAACCCATGAGAACATCTAAATTATGCCTCTTCTTGGAGCCATTTGATGGAACTCTTCTAGCTAATGTGGACTGTGGAGACAAACAGTATCTAAAATTTTAGGTTTTGTAATAAAAGTTGCTTTCAGAATGTTAGTGCAACAACTCAAATGACAGAGGCCAAGCAAAACTAGATTAAGTGCACCCAAATTATGGTACCCCTGCTTACTGCTTTAAGAATTTCAAATTGAATCTGTAACATCAGCCAGCAATGAGTGTTAAGTATATACTTTTCTACAAGAAACCAGACTTGTAGATTATTACAAAGTGCAATACCAACTCATAACTTTGTTATATATTTGCTGTTCCTGCTAAGCTATTCCAAAATTTCACCAAAGTTTCTCTCCTCCTCTATACCACTTTCGATGAATAATAGCGATTACTCTGGAGTTCTCCCGCTGAATCTCCTGCCAGACGAAGCATCACCACGATGGAACAACAAAGGAGACAATGGATGGCAGCTAATAGCAACCACCATGGTAGGCATGCAGAGTGTTCCTGGCCTTGTCATACTCTATGGAAGCATGGTGAAGAAGAAATGGGCTGTAAACTCAGCTTTCATGGCCCTATATGCCTTTGCTGCAGTCCTCATCTGTTGGGTTCTTTGGGCTCACAACATGTCATTTGGTACCGGATTTTGCCCAATATTGGGCAAGCCTGCTTTTGCTCTGACCCAAGGGTTTCTCCTCCCTCAGTACGGAGGTTTTCATGTTCCAATGGCTGATTATGTCTACTATGAATTTGTTTTTGCTGCCATTACTGTGATATTGCTTGGGGGCTCCTTGCTTGGGAGGATGAACTTCTATGCTTGGATGATATTTGTGCCAATGTGGCTCACCTTGTCTTACACAGTTGGTGCTTTCAGTATTTGGGGAAAAGGGTTTCTTGAGAAGTACATCATTGATTATGCTGGTGGATATGTGATTCATCTGTCATCTGGTGTGGCTGGTTTTACTGCTGCTTATTGGGTAATTGATATGGACACCCAAAACCCTTCCATGTATAATACTTGTTTCTTTGTTTTTGTCTTTGTTTTTTGGTGGTGATTTAGCATTGAATGTTGCTATCATATAGGTAGGACCAAGGCAATCACATGACAGGCAACATTTCCCTCCAAACAACATAATTCACATGTTGGGAGGTGCAGGGTTTTTGTGGCTTGGATGGACAGGGTTCAATGGTGGCTCTCCATTTGCAGCAAACTTGATTGCATCTTTGGCCATTATCAACACCCATATATGCACTGCCACTAGCCTCTTGGTGTGGGTTTCCCTTGACATGGTAGTGTACAAGAAAAGCTCCGTGATTGGCGCGGTCCAGGGAATGATCACTGGCCTCGTCTGCATCACACCTGGTGCAGGTAAACTAGTCCTTGCTCAATTGACATAATGAACGAAGACGTTCTCTTACACAAAAGCATGACATGTTATGTTATCAGACTATCTCTCATCCATTTTGTTTTAAAGTGTAGTTTCAAATAGGTTGATAATGTAACATATATATATATATTTATTTATTATATATGGCAAGAAAACATAGCATAAACATTGCTTTCATAAGGCCGTAGAAAATATCTTTCAAGAACATGTTTTTTGGTAGCTGCTTGTCACTTTCTATGAAATGAAGTAAAACAACCAGACAAAAACATGATGGTTATGAATGTTTATGAACTGAGTTTTGATTTAAGAAAGTAAGAAGAAGCAATTTTGCAGCATCCCACATATAATATCTACCTGCGCAGGGATTGTGGAGCCATGGGCAGCAATAATAATGGGAGCAATGTCTGGTTCAATACCTTGGTACACCATGATGGTATTGCACAGAAGATCAGCCCTCTTCCAAAGTGTTGATGACACATTGGGGGCCTTTCACACCCACGCAGTGGCCGGCCTGTTGGGGGGTCTCCTCTCAGGCTTCTTTGCTCGAGCCAACCTTCTGAGAATGATGTACCCGACTTGCCATTACGGTCCAGGCTTAATGTACAGCATCCTTGATGGGAAACCAAAAGATGGCCTCATACAAATGGGGTACCAGATCGTTGGAGCAGTTTTCATTATCGTATGGAATGTCGTTGTCACAAGCTTGATTTGCATTTTGATCAGCCGTATCGTTGATCTTAGGATGAAGGAAGAGGAACTTGACATTGGTGATGATGCCGCGCATGGAGAAGAAGCCTATGCTCTGTGGGGAGACGGTGAGAAGATGCCGATCAGATGGCAGATGCCTCCAACGATTCCTTCCATGTGCAGACGGCTGAATTGAAGTTTGTAGTGGAAATTCTAATAAGTTGTAGTGCCTCCACCTTTGTCGTTAAAAAAAAAAAGCATTCAGCAACTCTCGTTGCTGGCTGCTATTTTAATCCATCTTTTGTTCTCGTCTGTAAAGTGTACATGTTCATATTGGTGAAGAATATAGCTACTGGTCATTTTTGCATACGAAGGCTACTCATTGGATCATTAAAATACATGTTGTGGCATGTAGTTAGGTTACTGGAGTGACAATTGCTGAACAAACATCTGTCCCTTGGGTAAGGAAGTTAAGAAGACGCTAAATTTGTAATTTGGGAAAATGAATTAATAAAAAAAGAGAAAAGAAAGAGTCGAAATTTGAAGAATGTGATGACATATTTCGAATTTCGAGTTCAGCCCCTATTGTAGCTGTAGTTGCCAAGGATTAAGAGTACACAAAGCTTTCAAATGTCAGCTCAAAATACTAGTAGATTAAGCATTGCACAAATCTAATAATACATCAAAGATCTTAGAAAGAACAAGATATTCTTTCAATTAGATTCAAACGAACGCAATTTCATTCTTTCTTGTCATACAACACTTTGCTGAGATTTACAAACCGTGGATACGAATTTCCAAAGAAGGCTGACCACGCTTATGGTTTGAAGAATCCATCTGAGTACATGGTTTTACATATACATATTTGGGGGCAGTATTCAATATTCTACAGTAGCTGTACATTCAATATTTTAAAAGTTCTCTCATTATCCAATAATGCACAAAGGTGTTCCTTGCACTAGAATCTCCATAATGAATTGCTGTGCCAACAGTGCGTAGAAGCATCAACTTATTTAGAAGTGGATTAACCTTATATATTTGGTTAAGGCCCTTGAATTGACTTGCGAAGCTTGATTAGTTTGTCTCTCCACATGGCTGCAGGATCCAGTCGTTAATCGATAAATAATCCAATATATGTAAAACCATCAGGCAATCAGAAGCAAATTGATGAAGAAAAGAAGAAGTAATGTGACCTAGAAATGTTGTATATGTCAGAAAAGCAGTGCATAAAATACCTGCATCTTTATATCTTTCCTCTTTAATAGCTAAACTGATATTATTAACCAACTCAAGTTCTTGAATTAAAAAATCAGGACCATCTGCAGCACTGAAAAGAATTTAACTAATGATTAGAACCAGAAATTAACTGATGAAACAAACTTGAGGTGCACAAAATACAACTCAATACCTGTCAAGAGATACATCATAAGCAGACTTTGTATCACGCACTCGGCCCATCCCATAACTGATTCTTACAGCATCAGTTGAGACAATCTGTTTATTTACATATATGGGCACCTGCACATGGCAAGTGTCACACAAAGTTAGCACTAGTTTCAAAAGAAATGGTCAGGTGCATGTGATAGATTTTTAGATCTTGCGAACTTCAACAGAAAGGTGACAGTTTTTTTCATGCCCATGAAGAAGCAGGAACACGCATGGACACAAAGTCTATGAGCATTTGTATTGATGAATGCAAGAAATACATATACCTTGCTTCTATGTGCAACATTTATGGCATCTGACGGACGTGCATCCACATTAAAAACCTCGTTTTCCCCTGGCTGCAGATAATAGGAACCATGATGTCATTAGGTTGCTTCACTTTCTTAAAATATTAGTTCATAACTCACAAGGGTATACCACCTTGCTAAAACACAATCCGGCAAAGTAAGTACTCATCACTCTTTCTGTAATTCTCACCATATTCACCTGGAATTGAAGAGGTAGCAACAAAATAAGAGAATGACCTGAATGGTTTTACACCCCACTATCAACTTGGACAAAAAACTGAATGTCCTCTTAAGACAAAAAACTTACATACATTCCCTTCTCACCACTCACTTTTTCTAAAATCTAGTTGTTAGTATCATTAGGTTTCCTTATAGACATGCAATAAACATAAACCGAGTAGCTAAAGCAGGAAAAGGACAAATGATAAAAGCCTTCGGCCATTCAGAAAGTAATTAATACATGGAAAAAAAATTAACTACATACTTGATAACCAAGTTTGTCGACGAGATTACTCACAAACTGGAATTGATCAGGGGAGTCCTGCAGAATAACCAGTTTTGGGGGTCAATGTACATTCACATAAGAAAGCAACCGATTTAATTACAGAACTCAAACAGTTACCCCATTCTCATCTCCCCATTGGGCATCTATGAGATTTTCTATGGCAAATTCACCTGAAAAACAAAAATCAGCTAAGTTACAGTTAGTGACCAGAGGGTGTGACACTTCAAATTACACTTATATTCCTGTACATAATTTTATATACCTACAACAATTGGAAGCAAAAAGTCTCCATCACAAGAAATCTTGAGAAAAATCGTGGGATTTTGGAAACGCTGGAGAAAGTTTCGGCCTAAGGTATCAAAGAGGTTTCGAGATCGGTTTGCTTGAGCTGAAAAGGGACGCAATTTACCAGAGGACTGCCATTTCGTCTCTTCTTTAAACCCTCGCTTTTGCATACGGTAGTGAGATATAGTTTCTGCACTAATTTAACACAGTCAACAACTTCAAAAGATGATCATCACACCCCATCACTGAATTAGCAACAAATTACTTCACTTTACACTGCAACATTCGAAACCAACAAATTAAAAACAATAAAAATCAACAGAATATATGGACAAATAGGTAAAGACTTCATCTTTGGACGAAATAGTAAGAATTTAACAGAATCAAATCAAAATCAATTCAAAAAGTTATTATAGATACATAGAAATATACGTACACGTATATTTATACATATATGTATGTGATCATAGGTGGTGCAAAGAGAGTTGGGACCTGAGAGGAGGAGAGAAGCTTGGAGATAATCGTAATCGTGGGGATCGGCATTGCTGGATCTGGAACGAGAGGAAGAGTTGTTGCAGGTAATGCCGATCGATTTGAGGCCACGACACCGTTTTGTCGTTCTGAAACCTAATCGAACCGTGAAGACCAAGTGGAGCGAGGAGGAAGAAGCAGAACTAGCAGCAGGCCAAGTGCTTGGGATCGAACGGATGGCAGCTGAGCGATCCGTCACATGAAATTGAGCTCCGATCATTATAGAAGAAGAAGAAGAAATATCAATGTACAGAGAGAGAGAGAGAGAGAGAGAGAGAGATGAAGAAACAGATAAAATAGAGAGTTGGTTGAGTTTCTTTCGATTTCAACAATATGGCGCTTTCTTCTTTTCATTTGCTGGCTCAACTTCGGTTCGCTTTTATCAAGGGGAATTTTGACAAAGATGTGCCCATGCTGTTCTTGTCTCCCCAGTTAATTGTATGTCGTCAATGTCATTAGACTAGATGAACTCATAATTAATTTTTATAATTTTGTTCCAACCTACCCGCTCCCTTTCGAGATCGAATAAAATAGAAATGATTGCGTGTAAGGGATTTGTAGCTCAAAATATAGAAACCGATGTTCAATACAAAAACAATTGCGTATAACAAGTATAAAATTCAAGTGTTTGAACGAGTCCTGTCTTCTAATCTCCCATCCAATATGATGTTGCGATTTTAAAAATGAATTCACATATGACATAATGTTATGACATATCGTTACGACGCATGGCATAACGCTAGGTATTACATAATATTACGAGATAATGTTACGACACGTGGCATAATGTTAGGATGTACAGTTTAGGATACTCGCTGACCCAGAAAAAACAAAGGGGATACTCTGTTTCACCACGATCTAGCACACTCTGCTTCGCGCAAAGATGTCATGCCTGTACGTGTCAAGCTCCATTTGATTGTGCTGAGCATGTGCCATGCTGATGCAGACTCAAGCATAACATGAACCGGCCCAAATTATTAATGAGATTTTCTCATTTAAGGAAAAAAATATTTGCATTCTACAATGATTTTTCAATGATTTTTTTAATTACAAACAATTACAAAATTACAGGCCTTCTGATGGATGATCATCTGAAATGCTGAAACTTTTAGGTAAAAGTTATGGTATAGATCCTGGCTTGTCATCAGATCATTTGGGCAGTCGAAACACTGATCAGGTAGATTTGTGATTCGAATATTGACCGATTAGCGTGGCTTGGGAAGAAGCTTCAACAGCTTAATTAGCTCATAAGTCCTTGTGTCTTGACCAGAATAGAGGCAAAGGTCAAGAGGGGTTAAACCATCCTGCAACAAACAGATGACTTACATTACAATCAACTATCATTCTTACGGTTGCAATTCAAGGCAATAAGAACTAAAGCATACACCGGAATGCCGATAAGGTGCTTAGACTCGAACTACGACACGTGAGAGCAGAAATCATATGAAGGACAGTTCAAGAAGCAATCGCTCATATTTTCTTTCATGCATCCAACCAAGCATGTGCAGAATGCAGAAAACTTATGCACTACAAACACAAGCTAAAGGAATCAGTCAAAAGTTACCTTATTCTTCAATGTCTTATCCGATCCTTTAATCAATAAAAGCCTCACCACATCTGTTCTTCGGCCTTGAACAGCTAGATGTAATGGTGTCCATCCATCCTATAAAGTCAAAGTAAAACTTTTTGAATAATTGTTTCTTTATATTGCATACCAAAGTGTAAGCAAGCATGGGAAATTATAATCCGTACATTGTCCTGAAGGTTTATATCAACATTATATAACAGAAGAATTTTAATTGCTTGACTGGAAGCTGTTCGGACAGCAAAATGCATCAAGGTGGCGCCATCCTGTTTTCAACATAAACATTTAGTTAGAACAATAATAGTCACACTAAAACCAAACTGGATTGGGAGATTCACTAGGTAATCTACTCACTTTATCAAGAATAAATGGATTAGCTGATTCTCTTAAAAGATAGTTCGTGATGGCCTGATTTTTACCAAGAATTGCTTTATGAAGAGAATTCCAACCATCCTGGAAAGCAATGAACCAAAGCTCAAATCAAGAAGGAAAAGGAAAGAACAATCTTTGCAGTTAACAATCCAATAGAAAAGGTGGCCATTTATATACCTTATCCACAACATTGATATCAGCATTATGTTTCAATAAAGCATCCATAAGGTAAAATTCTCCTGATGCAGCAAGAGTGTGGAGTGGTAGCCATTTTCTCTGAAAGAGATTTCAAATACACCAAAATCAAGTTAAAACCTTCAAGTTCATCGAACTAGAACTACAAAAATGTGATTGTGTGAGGAGGCAGCTGTATATGTTCAAATTTACATAGGGTTCAACAAGTAAGGGTTTCTCTAAGGAATGATTTTCTAATGAGAAAAACGAAAATCAATCTAACAATAAACACAGAAACCATCATGTATTAATGATCATAACACAAGTGACACTTACAGAGGTGGCAGCAGCTATATCAGGTTTTCGCTTATTTAGCATAGCCTTCTCCTCTTTCGTAAACAACTTTCGGGGTCCTGTTCATTCAAGCAACAAACAATATTTCACAGACCATATCCATTAAACACACCCAAAAAAAGACCAATTCAAGTTCAACCTCGGAAAAATTGTCCATTCTGAAAAATTGGTTAAAAGAGAGCTTGATTATCTGCAGTGTAAAAAATTATACTTCGTTACATTATCCTAGACCTGTATACCAAAATTTACTGCTTTTCAATAAAACTCAAAGCTAAAACCAGCATTTCACAGAACCCACATGAACATACTAGAAAAGAGGAAAATATAACAGAGAAAAGAGGAAAGCAATCACCTTCAGATTTCTTAGCACCAGGCTCATAATGCTCACTGTTAAAGAACTCAGTAACATCCTCCAGACCCTTCCCATAAACCGCCCACCTTGGATTCTTAGGCGCCACTCGCTCACTCAAAGACCCATCATTACCTTCATTATCTTTCAACTCCTTAGCTTTAGCATCCTCGACCTGAGCCAAACCTGAAGCCTCATCCAAAACAAGAGGCTTCAATTGATTCAACTTGGCCTCCCTGTACGCCAAGTACTCCTCCAAATTCAAATCCCTTATGGGCTCTAACCCCTTCTTCCGCTTCTCGACCCTCGTACCAAACTGCACTTCTTGAGCTATCTTGCGCCTCTCTTTCTTCGTTATGTTAATCTCTGCTTGTACCTCTCTCCATTGGTCCGGAACCAAGTTCTCAGACCCAATTTCATCGATAGCTTTTCTGGGTTTTGCTTTGGTTGGGTTAAAAGTATCGACTTTGGTGTTGTTTTGGAGATAAGGGTCGTCGAATATGCCTTCTTCGAAGACAACGCAGTCACCGATTACATGGTCTTCTTCGAAAGGGTCGTTTTGAATGGAGTAAGACGAGTTAACAGAGGGTGAGAGTGTGTGTAGTTTTCTCTGAAACTTTATGGTTGTGGGCAGTGCGAGCTTGTGAGGTGTGGTGGTGAGAGAGAGAGGTTTGGCGGGGAGGAGAGAGAAAAGCTTAGAGGATTGGGGGTTTACAGAGAGTGACATGGCCTTGCACTTGCTAAGCTCAAGCTACTTCCCTCAAAATGAAAACAAGGGAGTTATCCGTTTCTTCATTTTTGGATTGATAAGTTGTACAATTAATAGTTGGGCTAGGCCCAGATTGCTGATTATCACCTAGGCAACCAGCTATAGGCCTATGGCTTTTATCGGGCTGATATTGATTGCGACGATAGCACATTTTAGCCCAAACCTTTAAATCTTTTTTGTTTTTTTATGTTTTAAGACCTTTCCTATTACGAGAGTGATAGTACCAAACTCGCACACTCGAATCAAAGACCTTTCTTAGAGGAGCAATTGCTCCAAACTATTACACTAAATCAAAGACCTTTCTTAGAGGAGCAATTGCTCCAAACTATTACACTAGTGGTCCTTTGTAACCTTTGAACTTTTTAAGATGAGGTCAACTGAGATTTTCTTTGGAAGAAAAGCATTGCTACTAACTTGGCAACATTTAACTAAGCTAGGAAAAGTAACGAAGTGAGAATCATCAAGACTACAAAAGTAAAAGAGCCAATTTCTTTGGCCAAACTTGCACCGTTGGGTAAGCTTTCTGCAAGATCGAAACCAACTCAGTTCAAATTTCACAGAAAACAGTGTACAAACAGGGAAGACTAAAATTGGAGATAAGCTAGGCAACATATTATATATCGATTCCCATGTCCAAAGGCACAAACCAGCAATCCTACTACTCAGTAACAACATGAGAAACGAAACCAGAGGAACTCCAGACTCCAGAACACAACATTACATTGCTACATTTTGTCCCTTAGTCTGTAAATTTTGTTGGACAGGAAATAACAACACATAGCCTCATCTAGAGCCACGAGCATACTTCCTTTCAGGGCTGCCATAGGGAGAATAAGACCTCTCCCTTCTTGATCTTCCGCCATAAGGTGAACCCCTAGGAGAATAATCACGGCCACCTCTGTACGGTGAGCGCCTTGGAGACCTCCGATATCCATAGTCATCACGACCTGAGCCCCCACGATACCTACCACGATCACGATCACGATCACGATCCCGATCCCGATCCCGATCCCCATCCCGATCACCTCGATAACCTGTCACCAATACAGAGATAAAATATGAGATATAGGCAAACAAACCACAGTGAGACAACTGCACTTTTATTATTTACATAGGAAAGCATATTAAGCATACCATAGTCTCTAGTATTTTTCAACCCAAGATAATGCCCAGGTGTTGGAGTTCTTGGCCGCTTCCTCCGAGACTGAAAATAAACATATAAATCCTTATTCTTTGAAATTTCCATTATACAGTTAGCAAAATTAATCATACAAGAATCATTAACAAAATTTGAAGAACTGAAATATATCTTACCACAAGCAACATTATTTTTTATACTTGATCAGATTTAAAATATATATTTGATAAAGAAAACTTAAGAGGAAACTGAATAAAGTGGGAAATCTGGGCACAGAAACAAGCACAAGATATCCAGGCACATATGTGATACGATTAGTGTCCACAAAATGAATGCCAGTTATGAAATACCATAAAAGCCTCATTAGAAAGTTGTTGGTAATGTCCGTGGATTAGTTGAGAGTTGAAAGTGAATGCTGAAGTTGTAATGTTGTTGGAATATAGTTGCTATGTTTAGTTGATCAGGCGCATTTGAAAAGCTGTTTAAGCTTGCCATTGATCAAGCTGTTTCACTAAAGTTGACATGGATAAACTCATCATCTGTGATTGCTGCCAACATACCTGACGCAATGAGTTATGAATATAACCAGAAAACCGCCAAGTCAAGAAAAACAAAACAAAACAAATGGTTTAAAGTTTATCACCGTATGAAAATCACATTACCCTCTCAACAGTTATGTATCGACCTTCCAGAACTGACTGGTTGAGATGTTTAATGCACCGTTCAGCATCTTCAACAGAGTCCATAGTAACAAAGGCAAAACCACGAGAAATTCGAGTGCGGGGCTCCACAACAAGAAAGCACGAGGCTACCTGTGAAATAAGGCAAGCAGAACATATAAATGCAAAATTCATCACTACACCATGAATAATGGAATAGTTAGTGCAATAAAAAAATTTCACTAAATAAAATAGAAAATAATAAAAGCACCTTTCCCTCCTTTGAAAAATGCCTTTCAACATCCTTCTCTGAGACCCTTGTTGATAAGCCAGTCACATACAGTGTATTTCCAGGATTTATAGCAGCAGGCCTACCACATAAAACAAAACTTAGATGAGCACCAGAGAAAAATATCAGTGTCATAAATCGAAAGAAGGTTTGACCACTGTCAACTTTATAAACAGATATGCTACTGTAAAGAAAAACCAAAATTAACACCAACCTGCCAGGACTTCTGGACCTTGATCTGCACCGAAAAAAACGCCAACCATTTATAAGAATCATTGGTGTCACATGGCAGAAAAACTGAAGTTACTAAAACCAGTGTTTTTAAAACTAAAATTAATAAATCAACGTTTTCAAAACCAAAGTTACTAAAACCAATGCTTTCCAATGCAAAGGCATAATGTGAGGTGTTTTGTGCCTCACAAGTGAGGCATAAGCCACAAGGCATTGAGGTGTAAGCCTTCAGGGATGAGTATTATTGAAATTTAAGAAAAATAAATCTGCAGGAAACCACCTTAGAGCGGCCAAAAATATCAGAGAGCTACTTGGTTGTTGTGGGTTAGAGGCTACCAAGATATTCTAATTATTTGTTATGGTTATTCAGGTTTTATGGAGAGGGAGAAAGGGGCTCTAAGTGGGGTATTAAGTTTCCTTTTCAAATCCTAGGCAAAACTGTGTCATGCAACAAAGAAACACCTTGGGCACCCTGCTCTCGAGTCATGGAGTGCTTGTTTTTGCCTTTTAAAAACACTGATACTAATAAACATGAACAACACATTTAAGCAAAAAAAGTGAAGACCAACCTGCCACGACTTCTAGAGCGAGATCTCTGCCTTGGCCTAGACCACGATCTTGACCTTGACCTAGGCCTAGACCAAGACCTGGACCTGGACCTGGACTGAGCTCTCCACGGAGAAGGGGATCGTGAGTACCTGATTTACACATATGTATGGCATAAAACTTCTGAACAACATCAAAAAATAAGAGCCAAACAGCGCAAAACACTTTCCCACATAGTGAATCTTCATAATGAAAAGAACTCACAGCTAATATGCTCTAAAAGCTAATATTCACCTATAATGCGTTTATTACCAGACCCTAGAATGGTCGTCTGACTGTCAAAAATGAGAAAGCAAGCCATGTTGATCATAACAACTACCCCAAACGGAATCACAAGAACACCACATATTTATCTAGAGTCTCCCTGATTCATTAGTATCACAATTCAACAATTTTCGCCCCACTAAATAAGACATTTAAAACATTCTCCAAAACATAATGGAAAAAGTAACAAATCTGAACATAAAACTTCTGGGTGACTTTATCCTCTATAATTCCAAAGTGAAAACTTCCAAGCATAAACATAACTTGCATATACCATTCTAAAACTACACCACCAAGACCTACATGGTAAAGACAAAACCTTGTATGTATGAATAGTTGCCGCATTGGATGGTCTCCCAAATAAACAGATTGCCCGTAGAACATCTTCCATGGACTAAGGCACAGCATATAAGCAGAACCGTATGATTTCCTTACCCACTCGCATATCTATGACTATTTCTAAAAATCGAAGCTAGGATTGAAAATCCTAAAACAGGGAATTTGTGTTCTTCCTTTCTTATAAGGAAAACAGAAAGATAGAGAGAGAGTGATTTTCACAAAATGATTTACGGATAGTAAGTGGCTCACAAAAAACAGACAAAGAAAGCTTCAAGAGCCAAACATAGCCAAATAAAAATTCCAATAACTCCAATACACTGACACAAAGCAAATCAGCACCAATAGATCGAAAGCCTCGACCCAACAAATATGTTGAAAGGCAATTATTTTTCTACAAATATACACATATATAATATATATATTAGGATGCAATTCGAACCCAGAAATTGAAAAACAGCAATTGAAATTATAGGGCTTACTTTTTGCGAGGAGAATCCGCCTGCAAAAAATGTAAAAAGAAAAACGCATTAAAATCTTTCAGCTTTCTCAAGCATGCAACAACACCAGAGCATCACGTAAGTAGAGAGATTACCATTCGCAGAGGGCAAAGACGAAGAACCCTAGAGAACAAAGTCGAGGTATTAGGGTTTGGGGTCAATGAGCTTTCTTGAAAGGGGAAAAGCCCACTTTGTATCTATTGTCTATGTAAACCGGAAATTACATTATATATATGTCAGGGGTATAATCTCCTACGTTGAAGGCACATATTTGCTATGTTAAATAACCATTTCTTTTTTTCTTCTTTTTTTTGTTTTTTTTGTTTTTTGTTTTTTGTTCTTTTTTTATTTTTTTTATTTTTAATATGTTAACCTGTAAATCCATATATATAAAGGCAAAGAACGGTGAAACATTCAAAATACCAGAAAATATCCTTGGTTAATTCAAACATTAAGAATTTAAATTATTAATTAAATGAGGATAATATGGTAAATTCAAATTTTTATATTAAAAAAATTAAAATTAAAAACAAAATCAGATAATAGGTCTTAATTTTATGGAACATAAATATTCTGTTATCTTTTCTTAATTCTAAAAATAAAATAAAAAAGAAAAATAATTGGCACATGCATGAGCATGTGCCAAGGGGCTAGTTTGATTGAACGATAAACTTTTCTGTGGGAGAAATTTTTTGTAAAAATATTTCTTCTTATAGTAATTTCTATTTATTAAGGTAATTAGGAAAATTTTGATTCTCTTTTATCTATCAGGTAGGATTTTATTTTTATTTTTTTTACCGTAAAAAAACTAGACTAGTAAATTTGATTATTATCACGAATAAATTTGGTTAGTATTTGAATTTAGAGGGAACAATTTTTAATTGTTTTTTTTATTGCATGGTTTAATGTCAAGTTTGTGGTTGAATTATGGTTCATTGGAAGTAACTTTGGTTTATTTCACTTTACTGCTTGCTTGCCATCCATGTTAGGAACAGGAATAAAACTATATAATGCAACTGCCTTAAGAACTTCAACCAATTTGTACAAAAACAGAAAAAGAAATGAAAAATCTTCATTCACAATATCTACTCTTCCAAGTCATTGTGTGTAAATTCACAAAGTGATATTTTCAACTATGTTGGCACATATGCATCAGTTACAGTACAAATTCACAGAATCTAATCAACAAGGAAACGGACTGAAAGTAGCAAGAAAGAAAAAGCAACTGGGTTGATCTGGTAACTCGGAGGGCAGGGTGACATATCGCTTCAATTTTATTTAACGAATCGTGTATGAACATAAGACTCTGGAGAGATCATGTTGTGAGAGTATCAGGAAGTGCGGCAGAATGACCTCCAATTACTTTACCGCCGACGTCAGGGAAATTTTCATGTCCCGGCAGGGGGCCAACCTTCCCATCAGCATCTACCTGCAGAGGATACTTCAGAAGGTGGCCCTGCAGTTGTGTAAAATCTGGAGATGTGAATCTCTTCCAGTTTTCTTCAGCAATCCCGTTGACTGTCCTCACACATTCCAAACTCTCTGGCTCTTCAAAGCATGGATCTTTACCAAGATGCTCAGCCCAAAGCGACATTCGATATCCGTATATCTGCATGAACAGAATATTGGATGTCTAATTAAAGCATGTAAGTGTAAAAGAAATTGAAAAAAAGGCAAATTCTTTATGTTGTCAACAAATTCTAAATCCGGGAGGTAAATAACTATATTCAATAAACTCAACCACAAGGGGATTCTGTGAAGTTTCTTAAATGCATTTTAACTTGTTCTTGGAAAACAATGGAGAGAAGGGGCAAAAAGGAAAGGAACTGGTACTCTGAACCAAGACGAGAACAATTATAACAGTTAGTGCTCGTGAAGTCTCTCGGAAGCTGAAGGTACTGACTCATGCTCATAAATATCCTCTTTGGCATCAGCCAAGAAAGGAGCCTCAATTATACAGAGTGGCATACCTGACCAAATGGATGTTTCCGCCTCTCAGCCCAAGTGTAATGGGGCTGATATGCACCCATAGCTATCTCAGTGTCTTTGCTACCAGCCATTGATCTTTGGTTGATATTGGCAGATCCAAGTATTACGTACTCGTCATCTACTACCATACCCTTGGCATGAACATAAATCATAAACCGCTGATATTTATATGCATCGGAGACCTGAAAGAAAATTTTATTATAAAGGCCAACATCTGAAAAGTTCTCGCAGACAATAAATTAAAGCAGATATCTAATGAATTTAAAGATCTAAGCTTGAGTGGTCATCTTATCCTCTGTGAAGCATGAGATGAACTAATGGTAAATCTCAGGAAAACGCGTAAGGTCATTGGCATGGTAGGAATACAAAAGTGAATGCATTTAATCTGTAACAATGGCCAAAAACAAAAATCCAACCTTTAAAATAAGTAAAAATAGAGCTTTCGCCTTAAAATGTGTAACACACTACAACTACTAGAATAATCTACATTAACAAAATATTTTTGCCTTCCCATTGTTAGAATTATGTAAATGTGACAGATCGTGACATTGAACTTTAATTATTTGGGGTTTCCAAATATACCAAACAGGATAGAGGAAATCTTTCTACTGTCTTGCGTGCTAATCTTGTTACATATTTTGATATTTCAAGGTCCCACAGAGTACATGCTAATTACAGAAAACGACAGCATGGATTTTGCATATACTAAGATCTAAAAGCTGAAAGCATTAGAGAGATTAAGTGAATATATTGTGAAAATTGTAGTGGGAAACCATGAATTTCTCAGCCATAAGGGCCTACTATTTAGTTTATGCCAACCAAAGAAGCTAGCACTTAATGATAAAGTCAGAGCAGTTGGAAAGACAATTATTCTCAAATAATTACCGAAGCACCATTGTCATTCGAAGTTTCCTCTGAAAGTTTTTCCCGGTTACCAAGGCAATAGAAATTGAGGTAATCTTGAGGATGTGAGTCCTGAAGCTGCACCGATTTTAGTGCCTTTGCAACAATATCATACATTGCTTGCATTGTCTGGCTCTGCACAAAGTAAACATGCACAAGTCAGAAAGCAACTTCTATGTGTCCTTTCCATTCTTATTCTTGCACACTTTCACTAGTTCCTTGTCCTTGACATCTAAGGATAGATACCATGATACCAATACTACGATGAACAACACGAAAGGAATAATTCTGAACCAATAATTTCCAAGAAAACAATCCCACTGATTGGAAACCAAACAACAGATGATGTATTATTCAAGCTACTAGCAAAGAGTAGCTCAAAAAAAAGTACCAGCAAAGAGAATCAATGATGTCAAAGCAAAAAGTCCATCGCTGTTTATTATAGTCATTAAAAGAACATTACAGCCATCTTAATGTTCCTGTTTACCAAAACATGTGTTTCCCATGTATAATAAGCATTTCCATAATATATAATCACATACCTGCCAGAAAAGAATTTCTTGCATTGCAGCAGATTTTGGATCACCTTCAGGCCACATAGGTAAAACAACATACACTGCAAATCTCTCTTTAGCTTTAATTTTGCTAGCAATCTTTAATGCCAACTCCACTGGGATAAGATTATCAGCTCCTGCTCACACCATGAAAGAAAATATTCAGATAAATTTCTCAAACCAAAGAATGTGAATTTGAAAAAATATAAGTGGTTAGGTGGCAGGTGCAATAGTCTTGGGTCATTAAGGCTAATTTAAAGCCAACGACAGAAATAAAATGAAGATGCAAATTTTCAACATTCCTAGTCAATTATGAAGTAAATAATAAAAATTGCAATTACTTAGATAAAAAAGATTTGTACTTGGGGAAGGGGGACGGGTGCGTGGAAGTTGAGTTGGTTCCCATGTACAGAATGCTAGAACCCATAAATTTCAAGTGCATGATACCCATGATGCATTGTTTCGCAAAGCTAAAGTTTTGCTCCCCGAAAAAAAAACCCTAGAAACAAGCATCATAATGCAGTGCTCAGCATATTGTCAGCTTACCTGCATTTCTATAATCTGGCCATGCATATGATGAACCAAGAAAATACTGATTTTCAATATATATAAAATGTTGAGCGGATCTGATTGCCTGGATGTATGCTGTTTGAATGCTTTTATCTATTACCAGATTCTTTGAACAAATAAGATTCTGCAGTTACAATCAAGAGGAACGATCAGATTTTGTCTACACATTTAAAAGTATTAAAAGGAAGAAAGATAGAAGGGGAAGGGAGAGGGGGAGTCAAACACAAACCTGGGCCTCAGCTTTAGGGATGGCTTTGGGAAATCCTTTCAGTGATCCTGAGTCAATGGACCGAAAAATCTGCACAAGAAAGAAAGATATACCCAGCTTGATTCTCCTTTTTATTATATATATTGAAAGAAACAGAAAATAACAAAAAGAGTGAAAGAAAGTTTCATCATCCAACCTGAACATGCCAATCTTCGGGATCATCTTCACGTTGAACCCACAAAGCAGGGTCATCTTCTGGAATAGTTGTTCCATCCTTTGAAACAGATAGTGGAGGACTAAGTATCCATGAGATGCGGTTAATTTTTATCAAAGCATCGTCATGCCAATGTGAAGCCCTCTTTTTTAGTCCAAACTCTCTCCATTGTGTTGCTTTCCTCCAACGTTGCTCAAAGTTTATAAGAACATCATACGCAGCAGGCCCATCAATTCTACAGTGTAAGTCATGCCATGGTTGCCTTGGAGCCTTGGTTCCAGCCTAGTACAGGAACAAAACACAAAAAGCCAAAAAGATATGCATCTTAGCAGTCTATTTAAAGGAATAGAAACCTCATTTTGTGGATCTTGAGTAATCATTGAAAATAAAATATCATATACAAATTATGCTAGTACGTGAGTGAATTAGAAAGAAACAAGAAAGACAAGGAAAATCATGACAGGGTCTTAAATACTATCCCAATTGTTATGGATGTTAGAAACAATGCAGAAATAAACTGTATAACCCAATCACCAATTACTTACAGGAAAAGTAGGTTGATGAAAATCATCCTTAAATACAGTGTTAAGATCACGAAACAGTCTGTGCTCAGGTGTGTCATAACGACCATCACAGAGATCAAGACCTCCTATAAATGCAGTTATCTTGCGATTATTACCATGTGCCTGTGTGTCCACGAGAACGCATTTTTGATGGTGGGTAAAGAGGGTTCCAACAACCTGCACAAACCCATAAAATGCAAGTTAGACTCCGCAAGTTGATCGGCTTAGTGGAAAGCAAAATCTTACATGAAAGTAAAGGAACGCATCACGCAAATAAGGGCGTCCAAAACCTGCCTGTTGTTTAATAATGCTAAGCTTACTGCTGGCGTAGCGAGTTGCCAGAACACAATTAACAGATGAATGCTTGAAAAACTTCCGGGTTTCTTCATCATGCGTACCCATCATTCCTGCCTGCAACCAATCCGAACTTCACATTACGAACCAATTTCCATGACCTCACATACAAACTTGCACAAGCATCTTGACAAATTACATAATGCACTAAAAATTCGTTATCTCACTAAGGGTAAGATGGGGAGGGAAACAGCATAAATAAAGATGATGAACTACTGAACAGATTTGCTACAGTCCAAAAGTCTGGGAGAGTAATAGAAGGTGTGAAACCAACCCAATTAACTACTTAAGTACCCCTCTAACACCCTATTACCGGAAATGGAATAAAATAGTCCAACTTGGGATCTCTTCTTCTTTTCTCTTTTCTTTTTCTGGCTTTACATTTCAGTCCATATAGTGCATTGCATAGGTTGCAGTATGCACTTGGATGAGCAATGGATACCAACCAAGCACCATCACCATCACTACCAAAGCCACCACCACTATCACCACCAACTCATAGGTACCCATTTGGGCCAATGGGTAACCATTATCCATCCCTATTTACAATCAAAGACACCATTAAAAGATTCCAAACCATACAGATTGAAAATGATTGACATATCCATAATAAGCAAAAACCAAATTCAAAAAGACAATGCAGGTTTGGAATTGTGACCGTTTTGAAGAAGAACTTATCGTGTGAGGTCTTATCGTCCCAGACCAACAGCAACACCCTCACGCCTTCTTCAGACTTGTACTTGAGCAAGTCGCCGAGCGTTAAGTCGCCGCCACGTGGCAACGGTCGGCTGGGCTCTCGAATCAGCTTCACCTTGTGAAACACAGACCAACCCACAATGTAAATCAAGTGATGAGCCTCCGAAATCGCATAGCAAATGTCCTCCCAGCAACTCTCAGGCCTATACACCTTTCGTCCATCCAATTCAATCTCCGGCAGCACCCCATCCGGCACGTGCGCGTCTTGGTACAACCTCAAGGAGCTTCCTTTCCGCAACGGGAAATACGTGTGGCGCACACCCCTGTGTTCCGGATCGCCCGCTATACCATGCTTGTACAGTGGGTTTTTCTCGAAAGGCGTGAACTTTAGCTCGACCCGGATCGCCGAGTCGGGTTTCGGGGGCGTCCCGGATGACCCGATAATGGGAAACCACCCGGATATGAGTTCTCCGGTAGCGATTTTCTCGGCGGAGATCTTAGCGGTGCCGATGAGCTCGGCGCCGAAGAGGTCGTTGTCTTTAACCTGAAACTCGAGGTTAATTACGGGGTGTGCCAGGGGGATGAAGAAGTGCGCGTTCCACTTTGGGTTCTGCGAGTTCTTTATGACACGCGTCCTGGCCACGGTGGTCTCGGGGACCATAACGGTGACGTAGGAGTCGCTGGTGATGATCTTAGGGCGGCTGTGTTGGGACTTGTGTTCTCCGCCGTCGGATTCGGTGTGGCGGGAGTGGGAGGAGTGGGGGATTGTGATAGTGTCACAGGCGGTGAAGCAACGGCGGAAGCGCTCGGAGACAAGGTCCATGTTGGGAAGCCGCCGGGCTTCGATGATATGGAGGTCGAGGTCGCCGTGCAGGTAGGTCACCAGCTCCAACGTCATTTCGGCCATTGCGACGGGGGTGACGTGGCACCGGAGGAGGGAGGTCACTGTACAAACCTCAGTTCAGAGAGGGTTGGGGTTGGGGGGTTTGAATAGCGACAAAAAAAAACTGGGTTTATGGGTTTGGCGTTGCTTGAGAAACACAGAGGAGTTTCAGAGACCCCGTGGCGCCTAGAGGCTTTTGGGGATTTTAAATCTCGTGAAATCTTATAATATTGACAGAGAAGGTTGTGTGTGACGGAGGAGAAGAGGGAAGGGGATGAGTGTGGAGTAGGGAGTTAGTGTCCGTTACTAAAATTGGGATTTTTTCGTAATTAAAAATTGTTTTTTTTTAATGCAAAAAAATTGGGTCTGGTGAAATAATTGGTTTGGTTTGGATACGTGTAGCTTGTGGAGTATGGACCCATATTTTCATTTCCATTTTGTATTGAGCTTGTGGCTCCACCATCTACTTATAGCGTCAATCAACGCCAACCCATTTTAATATTAGGCATGAGAAATCATCTAAAATCTTTTATATTAATCCATTTTAGAATAATTTTAAAATGAGAAAAGTACAACTGTTTTTTTTCCCCATATTATGTTAGATAAATGTGTTTGCAGTAAAATCAGATTGTTTATGTTTGCCGAATCGAGTCATGTCGGAAAATTACCACCTTTTTCATATCAGGTGTTGGAGAAAAACTCTCATACAACGAGAGTATCACTTTTTGCTATTTCCATTACAAGAAAGATTTTTTTCCATTTGGTAGCTGCTCCTGGGTCTGGCTCCTTTTTGCCAGTCAGAATGCAATCGGCATACTCTAGGAATAGTGTCATAACCTAATATTTAATTAACTTTGCCTTGATTAGGTGCTTGTTTATTCCTTATGAGATTTTAAATCCAACTTTTGAATACTTTTACGTTTAAAAGAAGAGAATCATGGAAAAGTAGAAAGTTTCCTCAAGTTTCTTTACTTATTTTACCTACATCTTTTACCCTACTGCCCACAAATCATTATCAGTGTAGTTGGAAAGATGTCCTACCCTCACTCTCACTATCACAAACATAATCTTCACAAAATAATTATTTTATTTCCTCATTGAGCAACAAACCAAACCCAAAAACCCAAAATATCTGTCCTTCCTATTCCTTCCTTCTACCATTTCATGTTTATGCAATTATTTATTCCAGAAATATAGAAACCCACATGGCTGGCTGGCCTGCTGATGTGAAGGATGGCTTGAAGACACTGCCATTTAAAATTCTGACGCAACAGCTGCCCTAGGAAGGAAGGGTTTGGTATCTTGTAAAGATGAATTTTATTTATTGGTTTGTTTCCAGTAAAAATAATGCAAGAATTGAACTCTTTTCAAGTGTCAAGTATTTTACATGTGTATTAAAATTGCAGCCACAGAGCCCTCTACGACCAAAACCACCAGTCAGCTGAACAGCTCTTCAAATGTTTGTTTGGTTTGCAGGAAAAACCATCTTGGTTAAAAAAAATCTCAAGAGTTACTGATCAGTATTGCCACAACAATTATCATAAACACCCCATAAACATTGATTAATTTTTTTGCACATGTGTTTTTACAATTGAAGAGGATTTGGATGAGGAAAAACGGTTCTTCTTTTCCTCGAAGTAACTTCTTTCTTCTGGTCCGTACTTAACATCAATCTCCTTCTTGACTATCCCCACCCAACCTATTTTTCACATCACCCAATTGATCATCATGAACCTCCAATATCAAATCAAAATCTGCCAGCACACCACGGCCACTTGCAAACCTCCTCATCTGACCCAAAGAAGGCACTCTCTCTGGACCTCTAGATGAGCCGGCCACCAAACCATCAGGGTTATTGTTGTAATTTTCATCACCTTCTTTTGGTGGGGCTTCCTTGGGCAAACCCTTCGATGTCTTTTTCTTTACCTCTTTAGGAACACATGAAACTAGATTGCAGGTGGAGCTTTCTTGTGGTGGAAGGCAAGCCTTCTTGCTAGTATTTGACTTGCTTCTGCTTTGGTTCATCTTCTTCTTCTTCTGCTTGCCCTTGATTTGGCCCATGCATGAGACTTTTGGAGAAGTGGGTTCTTTTGGACCAAAGGTAATTCCATTCCTGGGCTTCCTTCTGGCCTCAGAGGGTATGAGTGATATCATTGGACCTGGGGTTTTTCTAGGGCTGGGAGGTGGGCTGTGGTATGTGACTGCAGGCTGTGCAGCCTTTGATAAAAGCTTCAGAATTCTGCTCCCAACAAGTCTTGATTGTTTCTCCATTGATTTTCAGTTTAATTGTTCTTGCAGCTCTTCTAGCTGTGTTTGTTGTATACTTGTGTGTTTATAAGAGAGAGAGAGAGAGAGAGAGAGAGAGAGAGAGAGAGAGAGAGGTCTTTAGAGGCTTTGGAAGAGCCGGAGAGGGAATGAGATTGTTGACCTCTTCATAGACAGTGTACTGGAATGGTGAGAAGGGTTTTTGCCGCCTAGAATTAAATAATTGCATTACCAGTGCAAGCTCCACTTGGCATGCCATTCTCGAATGTCAAACGTTTTGTTAATTCCTTATCGTTCAAGTTTGTGTTGGAAGGTTACATCCAAAGGGGTCAACGATTTTTAAAAGAAGAGCCGGGTAGAGAAGGATAGCAACGTGTGACAACAAATTTAGCAAATTATAAACTTTTGTTCAAAGTTCAAAACCAAACTTGCTAATCAAGAGAGGAAAATGTCCTGCTAGAATGTCAAAATTACAATTACAATAAGATCGAGAGCCAAACTATATTGATTACACGCAGTGCACCTGAACAAATTAGACGTGCAATATGAAATAGTACAGTTGCAAAGTTTTTTGGAACCGAAACCAAAAGGGTGGTCCAAAGTTGAGATGCCTGACCAGGAGTGGGTCTTTTTTCAATGTAAAATCGACCGCTAGTAGTAATAAAACACGTAAAATCTAGTCTCGGGCTATATACAGGAAGCAACTTAGACATGGATGCGCTGCAAAACCAGCTTACATCCTGCAGTTGATCGTCCAACTTTAATGCGACTCCCCACTTCCATCAACCTATCCACATTACAAGTCCAGGTTCTCTGATAGCTGCAGGTGAGCTGCTGTAGATTCAGATAGATAAAACATGAGTGGCATTTATAAATATCATAAGGATGCACAGAACTGATGACATGGAAACAAAAAATCCTAATAACCAAAACAAAAACATAAAAACAAAAAAATTGTTAAAAAAGCATTTTCTGAACGAACTGCGTTATAAGCAGTAATCAACCTGGAGCACAAAGGGAAATTCCCACTCAATTTAATAGGCACCCACAAGATAAAAGCTTGAAGAAAAATATACCTCTACATCATCTCAAACTTCTAAATGTAAAATGCATTAACGAGTGCTTCTGTCATCCTTAGTATCCTTCTCGCTCGTTTGAGGCGTGTACTGGCTAGTAGATGACGGCGAGTACCCAGGTTGACTAGGTGAGTACCCAGCACTTGGACTGCGTGGAAACAAAAGCAACGAGGAAAACAGATGAATATTTTGGCAGAGCACAATGAAGATCAAAACAAGAAATATCTAGCGAGAGAATATTGTTTCCCAGTTTACCTGTATTGTGGAGAACTTGGACTATAATCTGGGCTCACTCCAGAGGTAAATGGGCTGAACAAGAACAAAATTAGAAAGAAAAAAATAGACATATTGCAACAAATTAATACACACACAAATACCAAGTAGACTCCAAAAATACTAAATTAGAAAGGCAAATATAGGAAGTGTGGTCAGAGGTGACCAAACAAAGGAAGCTTACCTTCCAGGACTGTACGTAGGGCTTGAAGGAGAGTAAGATGGAGACGTAGGTGAATACGATGGTGAGGTTGGGCTGCAAAAAAACAGAAAAAGAAAAGAAAAGAACACAAGTAGTCATGAGATTTCCTTAATAATTATAAGCGGCAAGTCAATGAGCAAGGAACTGAAAAGGCTTATAAATCATGTGAGAGTAATAATCCCACTCATAAGCACTGATCAGTCAACCACACTCAGCAACTCTGATGCCATAAGTGCAGTTCGATAGACAGCTCACCTGTAATTTGGAGACGTAGGACTATATGGACTAGATGGTGACAATCTTGGACTGCTTGGAGAGTATGCCGACGAAGGACTGTATTTGGCTGACTGAGGATTGTAACTTGGAGATGTAGGGCTATAGCTGGGAGAAGTTGGACTATAACTCGGAGAAGTTGGGCTGTAACCAGGAGAAGTTGGGCTGTAGGCCGGTGAGGTTGGGCTGTAGGATGGAGATGTGGGGCTGTAGGAGGGCGACGTTGGGCTGTAGGAAGGTGATGTAGGGCTATAGGAAGGCGATGTAGGGCTGTAGGAAGGTGATGTGGGACTATATGCAGGTGAAGTCGGGCTGTAAGCAGGTGATGTCGGGCTGTAAGCAGGTGATGTTGGACTGTAACTTGGTGAAGTTGGACTGTAACTTGGAGATGTAGGGCTGTAACTTGGAGAAGTGGGGCTGTAACTTGGAGAAGTGGGGCTATAGCTGGGTGAGGTGGGTGAGTATGATGGACTTGTAGGAGAATAGGCCGGACTGGTTGGACTATAACCTGGAGAACTAGGACTATAGGTTGGAGAGGTGGGACTGTACCCAGGAGAAGTGGGGCTGTACCCGGGAGAGGTGGGACTATAACCAGGGGACGTGGGACTGTATCCAGGGGAGGACGGACTGTAGCCAGGGGATGATGGGCTGTAGCCCGGAGATGAAGTAGGAGAGAATGCCATTCCTCCAACATAGGGAGAAAACTGGGCATCTGAAATGGGTGACAGACGAAGGTTTGGACTCAGCAAATAATTTGGAGACATCATGCCCTCATGATATGGAGTTCCCGACACTGGAGAACGAGATGGTGTCATACCGAAATCAAGACCATCCATATAACTAGGTAGCTGGAGTTCAATTGCATTCTTCAACATCTCGTCATTGAGATACAGGGCACAGTCTCCTGTGCCAATAGGTGCAAGCTGGCCTAACAT